AAATGTCCCAATTTCACCATCACACTGGATGGTAGTGTAGTGGATACAAGTCTGGCTGATAGCCTCAAGGTCAGCAGTTCGAAACTACCAGTCATTCTGCAGGAGAAAGATGAGGCTTTCTATTGCTGTAAAGGTGTACAGCCTTGGAAACCCTATGTAGGGTCACTATGAGTAGGAACTGACTCCACGGCACACCACCACCACTGTCACCACTGGATGGACAATTTTGCTGGACATACATGACTCTCTGTTGGCAATTTTTTCTTTCAGAGTTTTAATAATGTGACTCAATTGTCTTCTGCTGAGAACTCAGAGCTAAGTTTTATTAGTTCTATGTAACTTTTCCTATTTCCCGAACTGCCCTCACAAGTCTTTCCTTGACTTTGGTTCTGAAAGTCTGATTATAATACGTCGTGATGATTTTCTTTGGGGGCCTGTCTTGTTTGGAGTTGGTTTTAACTTCTTGAATGGCTTTTTTTTTTTTTTTTGTCTTTTATGATGTTATGGAAGTTTTCTTCCAAAAATTCTTAGACAATTTCCTCTCTCTTTTGACTCTCTTTTCCTGTTCTAGAATTCCAATCACAGGCAAGTTATTCCTCTTGATAGTGTCCCACAGAAATGTTAGGCTGTCTTCAGATTTTTTAATTCTTATTTCTAACTGTTCCTCTTGAAGGTGAGTATTTAGAGATTTGTCTTCAAGGAGCTCTGGTAGCGTAGTGGTTACGAATCGGGCTGCGAACCTTAAGGTCGGCGGTTCGAAACTACCAGTCACTCCGCGGGAGAAAGATGAGGCTTTCTACTCCCGTAAGGATTTACACCCTCGGAAACCCTGTACAGGGTCGCTATGGGTCGGAACCGACTCAACGGCACTTAACAACCACAACTTCAAGCTCATTAACTCGGCATTCCGCTGGTCCCATTCTACTTCTCTGCCCTTGCAATATCCTAGTTCTGAAGCCTTAGTACATTAATCTTCTGGCTTTCTAATTACTGTTTCTGTATCGTTTCCAGTTTTATTTTTTCAGGTTGTTATCTTGTAGAGTTTTCCTTCTTTTTGTCTTCTCCTTGCTTTTGTAGATCTTTCTTGCAGTTGTTGACTGCACCTAAATAGCACGCTTTTAAAAGATCCTCACCAAGCAGTTCTAATTTCATTGCTGGGTCTATTATATGATTTTTTTTGGGGGTGGGGGCGGGGGGTGGGTGGATGTACACAAAACCCGTCAAGAATATATAATCATTTAAACAATCAAAGGGCACTTTCTGCAAGTCTGCCTCCTGGCCGCCAGCACTCAATCTTTCTCTTTCCATGAGTCTCGAGTCCCCAGATGCTCTATCTCTCCATGTCCTCATCTCTGCCTCCATCTCTGGTCTCGCTGCTCTCTGGATAAGGCCCCACATTCCACTCACGCTCTTCTCCCTTGATGGTCCTAGGGTACTGCCTCTGTTTCTGGACTGTAAGGTTAACTTTTCCTCCGTTTTTGTTATAAAACTTCTACCTTTACAGTTGTGATAGTTGCAATTAGTCATGGTAACAATTATTCACTATTGACTCATAAGAATCTTATCCGCATCTCCTTTCACCAGTGGGTCTATTGTATTTTCCGAGTCTATTTTGGTCACTTGTTGGAGGTACTCTTTTTTGTATATCCGTATAAAGGACAATTGTCTGTTTTCTTCCAAGATACTGCGGTGTCATTGTATTTATATTTAATTGATGACTGTATGTGAGTGTCTTCTCAGACACAAACTGCAAGTGTGAGCCCAGTTCTCTGTTCCCTGTTTGTGTAGTGCAGTTCAGGGCAGGTCTTTGGGCCTCCAGACGTAGGGGCAGTATGCCAGGCACCCAGCTGGAGGCTGGCTGGTGATGGTGGGGCTGGTCCTGCTCCTGGTTACCATGAGAACAGGCAAATAAGGGAGAACTGCATTCCCCCTTGCCTCCACCCTCCAGCCGTGTCCTGTGCCTGCCCACAAGCTGCTGTACTGGCAAGCTGCTTGCAAAGGCTCAAGATGGCTGTGACACTCCACATCAGCTGACAACTGTCTGTTTTTCTTCTCTGTTGCTATTCCTGTACAGCTTTCTCTTCCAGTCAGCTCTGGCCTATCTGATGCTCAGGGATCCAGGATCCTGTCTGTTTCAGAGGGCTGGCTCGGTGTGTCTGCCTGCTCCACCATCTTGGCTTGGTCAAGAATGACTTTTGTTTTTACTCGGGCATCTACGTAATCTTACCTGAAATACAGCCATGTTGTGGTAGCATGCTGAAAAATGTTCAAGATGGATGAACATACTGAAAACTTCTGGCAATTACAGCACTAGACTGGAGTCCTGGTGTGGCGCTGCGGAATAAAGCGTTGGACAACAGGAACTGTTTGAACTGCAAGGTCAGTGGTTCAAATGCTCCTTAGAAACCCTATGCAGGGCCCTATGAGTTAGCATTGATTCAACAACAACAACAACTGCACTCGACAGCCAACCCACTCCAGTTCTGAGAACCTGATCATAGCTCATGGCTTAGAAACATACCTGAACTGAAACCTGATTGTGGACAGTGAAGTAGGCACCTGAACGGATACAAAGCAGATAGCCTGTCACTAGGCAACAAGGGCTACCGACCTCGGGACTGCAGGCAGGGCTGCTGAGCTAAGGGAAGGAACTGTGTGGACAGTTAATGATTCCTTGTTTTGTTTTATTAATTAATGAACAATCAGCCTTTCTGTGTACACAGTGTCATCAAAACTTAACACTTAAGTGTGACACACTGAGATGTTTGCTATTCAACTGCAGACTGGGGAGAAAGCCCAGTATTTGGGATGAAGGCTTTTTAGGCTACACAGGTTTGAATCATCACTTTTTATTTTTCTTCTAATGAGGATTTAAACAAAAACATTGAAATGTGTGATTTGGGAATTCAGAAAGGCTTATTTTGAGACATGTAAATATATATAGTGGATTCCTGTATTTGGTCTGATTTCTCTTGACTGGCGGTTCCTAAATTCTTAAGATGCTGTTATTGCAAATGCCATCAAGCTGGTTCTGACCCATAGTGACCCTGTATAGGATTTCCAAGGAGCAGCTGGTGAGCTTGAACCAACAACCTTGCGGTTCAAACCGACTTTGCAGCCCAGCACATTAACTCACAGCGCCACACCAGGACTCCAAATTCTTAAGATTGCAGTAAATTACACTTTGTTGAATTAACTGCCAGAAGTGTAATTTCACTTTGGATGTACCGAATCTGGATGATTGGAGTCCTGATGTGATGCTGTAGGATAAGTCCTTGACTAGAAACCACAAAATTGGTGATTCAACCCCACCCTTCAGAAAACCGACTCATGCTTGCTATCAGCTGAAATGGACCCAATGGCCCTTAACAACAATTTGGTGAGTTAAAAAAAAGAAAAAAAAAAAAAAAAAAGAATTCCAGTTAAGGCATCTGTTTGCAGCTCAGAAAATGAGAACATATAATTGTATAATGCTCTGTTTTTTAAAAATAGGATAGCAAAACAAAAAGTTCTTCAGACTGCTTTTAGGGTACAACAAACATATCTGTAAAAATCCTTTCACAAGAACGTGCGTGACGAAGTCAGTCACTAAAGAAGTCACAACGGCTGTGGCACAGATAAGACAGCGCATGGGTTAAGAGTCTGCTTCATCGCCAGTCTTCCTCTTATTAAGAAAGCGAGTACGTAGAAGTTATTATACAACTTCGAAGGCACCCAAATAAATTTTTTGAAATTCAAACTTCAGTAAGTTAACTACTTTTAGTAACAAATCATTTAGGATATTTAAGACAGTGACAGAAAGCAAGGGGTACCACGGCATCTCGGTCTGAGAAGCGCTTTCTGGAGTCTGAATTACTCGCTCTTTGGTCTGAATTGGTTACAGGTATAAGGCACGTCACCTCAGCCTTCTGGGGTGGCAGCATCTTCACGCTGGTCACTTCAGGCCATCAGCGGCCTCCCTGATGGGCATTGGTGTGCTCTATAAGCACCAGCACCTTCCATGTGTGTGACGGTTTGTAACAGGCTGCCTTGGAGCAGGGGTTGGTCTGCAGCTTAGCTTATAGCCCATGAGTTAAGAAAAATGTTTCTCTCTTTAAGTGGTGGAAAGAAATTTTTAAAAAAATTAATCTTTTAATGACAGGAGAGAACTATATGAAATTAAAATTTCAGTGTCCACACATAAATAAAGTTTTATTGGCACACAGCCATGAGAATTGCTCTCGGTGTTACCCAGGGCTGCTTTCACAGCATTGCAGGCGAATTCCGCAGTTGTGACAGAGACACTCCGTTTGTTCCACAGTGCCTAAAACATGGGCTAGCACGTCCTTTACAGACAGTCAGCTGACCTCTCTGCCTTACACTATCTTATCAAAACCAAGCACCATGCGAGCTTAACTCGGTGTGAGTTTGAGGTAGCTTTAAGTAGGTCAACCGAGTCCTGGTGTGGTGCTGTTGGATAAGCACTGGACTGCTAACCACAAAGTCAGCGGTTCAAACCCACCAGGAGCTCCTCAAAACCTATGAGCCAGAACTGACTCGAAAGCACTTAACAACAAGCAGGTTGGCAGTAAATGAATAGAGTGTCTGTGAACAGAAGGACTCTCCTTTACCGGCAGTAACTGAGTTAGTGGCGGGGAGCAACCGAAGCCTAGCCCGAAGGACCAGAAAGAAAACTGAGCATACGGATCTGACAAGGGACTGCTGGGTGACGTTAAGGTTGAGGCTATGATGTAGTTTTGATGATGACAATGACTCTGGCGGGATAGGTAGTGATTTAGGAACAAAAGAACAGACTATCTGAGATAGGAGCAGTCTGAAAAAAAACAAAACAAAACACTTGCATGTTCTATATATTCAGAATCGAGTTCTTTGGTACCATTTAAATAAACACATGCCAATTGCTACTTCTCCACGTAGATGAGGAACAGCTAAGAGGTGGACAGACAGAAAACTAGAAGCGTGTTTTCTTGAGCCGAGAGAGGCAGAAGCAGGTCTCTTACTTGCGCAGGTGTAGGCATCTTTGTTGGTGAAGGGCTTCACACACTGGCTACAGCTGATGGGACCCACAACAGGAATGGAGCTGAAGGTGTGTCCATTGAGAGTCTTCTTGTCCTTCTCCTTTTCTTTAGAATCCTTCTCCTTCTCCTTAATTTTCTCTTTCTCTTTTTCCTTTTCCTGCCAATGAAAAGAATCAACGGTTAAGAGAATACTAGAAGACCCCCCCACCCCCCCCGACCTGGACCTCCGCATGGCATTTGGTCAACAGTCATTCATGAGAGTCTGGGACAAAATCAAGCAATACTGTTCTAGACCAGAGTGGGTAAAAAAAAAGCACGTTTTAAAGTCGTGAGCATGCAATCTACATCAGAAAAACCACATGGAAACTGAGCGCATTAAGCTGCCTGGCCATTGGTTATTTATACCAGCAGACATACTGCCCGAGGACCCACACAAGACACAGGCTTCTGGGAGTGGGGAAGGAGGAGCCGGGGGTGGCTGTGGATCTTTCTCAGTAAGACACAGCAGCGTATAAATCCAGCACACTTCAGGCAGGGTCTAGACAGGGAGAGGAAAGGAGGGTAGCCACTCTAGGATAGCTGGAGCGAGGAGGAAAGACGGCTCAGCAGCCCAGGAAGAACGCTGAGGTTTTTCACTCTGACTTTCTCACACCAATCACACACCCCTAAGTTTCCTTCCTTTCTCTAGTCACAAGTATTAGATGTCCTCTACACACACACATTTTCAATCCTTACTAGTTAGAATCTCAAGAGTTATGACTTCCAACTTTAGTCCCATTTTCAAAATAGGGGGGAGAAGGGCGGTGAGAAAATCAAGCTGAGACATTGTACTGTGGTTTAGAAGACAGACAATGGCGTCAAACCAGAGTTGAAATCTAGTTACTCTTGCTTACTAATGGTTGATCTTGGCTAAGTACAGTACAGTCTCTGGGATTCCGTTAGCTCACCTGTGAGAGTACCCATCTGCTTTTACAAAGAATTACATGGGATAATATATCTAAAAGGCTATGTGCCTGACACACGGGCGCTGCTAAGTGCACTGACTCACGGTGATCCTGCATAGGGTTTCCAAGGAGTGGCTGGTGGGTTTCAACTGCCGACCCTGCAGTCAGGAGGCTGAGTGCTCACCCTACGGTGCGACACCAGGATTCCTAGTGAGTACCTAAGAACAGCTGGCACTAATTGTAGAGTAACTACTCATAACTTACTGAAAAGAAAGTTGTATTTGATTTTTAGCCTTCTAATCCAACACAGAAGTGTACCTGGAAAAGGAATTTTGAAAAGAGGGTGGTGGTGCAGTGAGAGGAAACTGAGAAGAAAGGCTAAGGGCAGAGGAGCAGAGCAGGGAGGAACGGACAGGACGGAACAGGACAGGCGTGGAAAAGGCTGCAGGCAGAAGCCTCAATAGCCATCCTCCTTAAAAGTCCCTCCTTTACCCTTTCAAGTAAAGGAGGCCTGGTGTGGCGCTGTGGGTTGTATTGGACTGCAAAGTCAGTTTGAACTGCAAGGTCAGCAAATCAAGCTTACCAGCTGCTCCTTGGCACCCCTATACTGGGTCGCTATGGGTCGGAACCGGCTCGACGGCACTTAACAACAATACTCCCGTCAAGGTAGGTACCAGAAGTACCACTTCCTTTAGGAAGATGAGGTCCCAGAGAAAGACAAGGCCTAAGGCCTATCTGTTCACGCCCTCCCCTGAGGGGACACAACAGGAAAAGGAGGCACCTAGGAAGCCAGTCCAGCGTGGAGAGAAGGTTTGCTCAGACCTACTCTAACCTCCCTGGGGAAGTGCTATTTTTAATCCTTGTTCTTTCCTCACCTCCCTGAAATGGAACCCTATACAGGGTCTCGGAGTCAGAACCGACTCAGTGGCACTTAACAACAACAAACACACTTTGGAACAGACTGAAAGTAGACTTTCATACGGTATCACACCTAATTCTAAGAGGACTTATAAACAATCAAGCAAGCAAATGGAAAAGCCTTTGAGAAACAAAAACTCCAAACCAGAAAAAACCTTTGAAAGTTGTGAAAATACTGTTGACAGTTAGATTCTTCCTAAAGTGTTGACAATAGTCAGGGGCATCTTCAGTGGATCCTAGTTTTAGGCTAAGACCAGAAGGAATAACCACACTCACCGTAAGAAGTTTTTACAAGAGCAAGCCAGAACACTCAGCTGGCTAACCAATACCAACGATTCAAAATGGAATGATTTCTTTTTAAAGGCACCAGCCGGGTTTGGAGAAGTACGCTACATGGAGGTAGCAGTGGGTGCAGTCTAAGAAAATCTCTGGAAATGGCAACTTCAGTCAGTGATCACTGCAGTAATTAGATGCCCTACACTGGGGAGCCACAGCTTGTGCAGACATCCCTTCCTCGGAGACAGAACGCTGAGTTGTGGAATCCCGGTGTGGCGCTGTACGATAGGCACTCGACCATAATAAGGTTGCTTTGAACCGCAAGGTCGGTAACATTAAGCCCTGGTGTGGTACTGTAGGACAAGCACTGGACTGGCAACCCCAAGGTCGACAGTTCAAATCACCAGATGCTTTTGGAAACTCTATTCAAGGTCAAAGTGAGTCGAAACCGACCTGCTGACACACAACACTAATATTTTGACAGCTGTTGTGTGCTGAATGGAGTTCTGGTGTTGCACTGTGGGTTAACGTGCTGAACTGCAAAGTCAGTTTGAACCACAAGGTCAGCGATTTAATCTCACCAGCTGTTCCTTGGAAACCCTAGACAGGGTTGCTAGGGGTCGAAACCAATTCGATGGCACTTAACAACAACAATGACAAATATGCTAAGCACTGTGGTAAGCAATGTATTTTCTCACTTCAACCCTATGAAATAAGTTGTTAAGTGCCATTGAGTTGGTTCTGATTCACAGTGGCCCTGTATAGGGTTTCCAAGGAGCAGCTGGTGGGTTTGAACTTTTGTCCTTGTGGTTAGCAGTACCACTCCAGGACTCCATGAAAATAAGTACTAAGTATAACTTCCATTTGCATCTCAGGAGACTGAGGCGGACACACATTGAATCATGGGTTTGAGGCCACACAGCACTAAGCCTGTCCGAGCTGCGACCGAGACCCAGGGCTGGCTGACTACAGCTCAGCTCTCAGGTCCACTACACTGAAGAGGGCAGGGCCACCAGCTTGCAAAAGGTCCCACAGCAAATGATCTGCACAGTCAAAATGAGAAGTCAGGTCTTTTGACCATCTGTTCAAAACCTTTCCCACTATACTGAAATGGTACCTATTTGACAGGTTTTTGGTTTCAAGAATGCATACTGGAATCTAAGGGCTGAACTGCTATCATTTGGAATTATAAGAAATAATATACAAGCAAAAGAGAAAAACAAACTACTTCACTTTACAAAACAGGAAACTGTTAAGAAAAAATTATTCGTCTCTCCATACATAAAACCCTAATAGAAATCAATAACAGTTGAGTTTCTCGGAATAATTTCCTTATAAATAAGTTTTGCTGAAGTTTCCTCTACTATACATAAAATGTTAAACTGAGAAGCATCTGATTTTTGCTCAAGAAAGTTAGTGCATTCTCCAAGAGTCACACACAATCTTTTAAGTCTTGCAACGCTCTTCAAATATGAATAAATACTAATTCTAATTTCCTTATCAACTGCAAAAATCCAAACGAACTTTTCCAAGGATAAACACCAAACAATAAATGCCACTCTTCTCTAATTCTGTGAGACATTAGTACTTTAAAGAAGTCAGCTCTTACCTCCCCATGTTTTGGTCCTACGAATCTCACTGTTATGAGGGGTACTTCATAAAACCGACCCCATTTTACCGACATGATCCAACCCCCATGCCAGGAAATGTGCTCTCCCAGGAGGAGGGGCTCATGCCGGCGCGGCAGAGCTCCGCATCTTCCAGCTGCCAAGAGAGGCAGCAGAAGAGGAAGCCAGAGACTGGCTGAGAAGTGGAAGGAGGGAGGGCTGAGGCTGCTTGTTTCCTTAAGACAATCTTAACTATTTGAACGCTGCTGGTAAAAGCCAACTGCCCAAGTTACATGAAACAAAACATATTCCCTAAAATATAGGATTTGTGGATAGTGCCAGAGCTGCAATAAGGAACTCCGACAACGGCTGCAGCTAATCTTTAACACTGCAGGTTAAGGGACACATCTCCTTGTTTTATCAAGAGCAGTGAGCTCCCATGGTGGTAAACTGGTAGCTGGTTGGTTCTGATGCGTGATTGGTCCATGTTCAGCAAGTGTCAAAATTACCTTGTGTGCTGGGGTAAGAAAACGAATAGTGTTTAAAGGTAAAGGCAAAACAACTTCACTGGCACACCCTGGAGCACAGGGGTTTTCACTTCCCTAAATACAGGGTCCCTATGGGTTGGAATCGACTCGATGGCACTTAACAACAACAGACCTACTCTGAGAAACTCTGGTAGCGTAGTGGTTACAAGTTGGGCTGCTAACCTAAAGGTCAGCAGTTCGAAACTACCAGCCATTCCGTGGGAGAAAGATGAGGCTTTCTGCTCCTGTAAAGATTCACAGCCTCAGAAACCCTGTGCAGAGTCGCTATGAGTCAGAACCAACTCCACGACACACTATCACCACCACCAAACCTACTTTGAAGCCCTGGTGTCACAATGGGCTAGATGTTGTGCTGCGAACCACAAGGTCGGCAGTTCAAACCCCCAGCCACTCTATGGGAGAAAGATTAGGCTACCTGGTCCCATAAAGACGTCATCTCAGAAAACCTGCCGAGCAGTTCCATTCTGTCATACAGGGTCACTATGTGGCACAAAACCATCAAATGTACCCTTGGGATAAATAATTACAATTCAATCAGAGAGTACTCCGAAAAACTCAGAACCTGCTTATGATTAAACAACTGTCAAGATGCAGGTCTATAATCAAAGCTGAAATGAGAGACAGAATTACAGGAGGGGCTTCAACAAGTCCCTGGAAACATCCACTGTCTTTTAATTCCAATTTTCTATGAACTTTTGGAAGTCCTTTTGCATTTAATGTTGGTGTAAGTCTTTGTAAACATTGCTTGGATTCTTATCGGTAGCTGATGGGTACGCTGTCTTTTTATACGTTGTTGTTAAGTACCATCGAGTCGGTTCCAACTCCCTGTATAGGATTTCCAAGGAGTGACTGGTGAGCTTGAATTGCTGACCTCGCAGTTCAAACAGACCTTGCGGTTCAGCGCATTAACCTGCAGCGCCACTCCAGGACTCCACCCTTTTATATGTTGTTGTGAAGTGCCGTCTAGTAGGTTCTGACCCATAGCAACCCTGTATAGGATTTCCAAGGAGTGACTGGTGAGCTTGAACTGCCGACCTTGCGGGTCAAACCGACTTTACAGCCCAGTGCATTAACCTACAGTGCCACATCAGGCCAGAACAACAACCAGGAGTTGGTGCTAAATGTCTTGCTATAAAGCCATGTAGTATATTATTAGCTGTGTAGGGAGTCAAACCCTTGTGACCAGAAATACTGACTTCAGAAAGAAGGATGAATGGAACTGATAAACCCAGGGAAGATGTAGTGGGGGCAATGTGTGTGTGAGTGTGTGTTGGGGGGGGAGGGGAGAGGGTGTTGCAATACCATGGGGGCTGCAATCACTGTTACAACATGGCTACAAACAAAACTGTTGAATGATGAACCAACTCTGTAAACTTTCACTCAAATCAGTTTTAAAAACTCGACTTCAAGTCAAATTAAGAACTTCTCTAAAAACATTTCTAACCATCTTTTTGTTATCTGCAAAGAAGAAAGCTTAGCAGCAAAAAGAACACCAGTATGACAAGGTAGTCTATAGAACTGCCCCAAACTCTATTTTTGAATGCAACTGTGATGCATTCATTATAGGCTGAAATAGTCTGCAACCAGTCAACTTGCTTAGCAGGAAACAGTACGATCTCACAGATACTAAAAGAAAAGGCAGAAACTGCCAGTCTTCCTGTTGTACTTCCTGTTTAGGCTCTCCCACACCCCTTCAAAAACATTCATCCTACGTACCACCCAGTAGCTTAAGCCAGTTACTGACCATTCTCAAATCCATGTGTGAAAGACATAAAGACTCCAAGTCTCAGATGAAGCACAAATCAAGTGCTACAGGCAAAACATCTTAGCCAGAACATGAAGTTTGCCAACTGACTGCTTGCTAGTGGTTAGCTCCTCTGTACATAATTTCAGAACTGTTTATAATCACAACTTAACACACTGACTGTTGTGTGGTTTTAAGTTGATAAATGTATTATGATTAACTATAAAGAAAGCAGAAACTTCCAAACCATCGATGGAGACTACCAAAAATTATAGGTGGCATTTTAATATTAGTATACATGAAGTGCTCAAATTTTTCCTGTAAAGGAAGTAGGAATAGCTCAGTTGTACTATAAACTCGTACAGTAGGTAAATAAGATGTAATTAAACACTAAAAAAAAATCTATTTAAAACAAAATTTAGAGTTTTCATAGAAAATCAGTGTTGACCATCGACATTAGCACTTTCAAGTTTTTAACATTACGGACAGATAACAAAACTTATTTGATCATTTAAAAGAATTATCATCACAGGTAAGAAGAATTGAACATTCATTTAATTTGTTATCATTTAGAAAGTCAAACACTTCTGTACTGTAACCCCTATGACAGGTGCATGGCATTTAGAGGCAGGGGCTGCTTCACTGTAAGAATTCTAACACAATCTTATTTTGTTAATAGCTGACAATGAAGCCTGGCTCTTAGACTGAAACACGCGGCTGGGAAGGGTACTCTGAACTCTTGGCAAGGTGACACGGACTGTAATTCGGTGTCACTGCCTTTAGAGTTTTAGTTTCCTTTGAACTTTGCTTTGCTAGAGGGAGCACAGCCCTCAAAGATCAAATCTTGAAGCCAAGCCTGAAAGGGGAACCAGTCTCAATTGCAAAACAATGTTGTCATTTTGAATAAGGAGGTGACCGGAGACAAGAAGCCAACTGATAGAGCAACAGTTTGTTTTTTGCCAGTGAAGACAGACTTGCTCTAACACAAATGATCTTCTTCTTGCATGTCCTGACTCCTCATTCCCTCATGAGCAAACGCCAATCCCTGGGGATCATTAACAAAGTTTAAGAAAGATGAAAAGATACTGTTAGCAGCAGTTACATGCTATTTAAGAGTAAGCAGGATATGAAGAGAACTGCATGGATCAACTATCAACACTCACCGAAGCAGCAGTCAAGAAATCAGACGGCGTATTGCATTAGGCAAATCTGCCACACAAGACCTTTTTAAAGTGTTGAAGAGCAAAGATGGCAGCTTGAAATGAAGGTGCGCCTGACCCAGGCCATGGTATTTTCAATCACCTCATATGCATGTGAAAGCTGGACAGTGAATAAGGAAGACTGTAGAAGAATTGATGCCTTTGAGGTATGGTGTTGGAGGGGAATACTGAAAGTGCCATGGGCTGTCAAAAGAACCAACAGATTTGTGTTGGAAGAAGTGCAGCCAGAGTTCTCCTTGGAGGCCATGATGGCCAGACTTTGTCTCTCATAATTTGGACACATTGTCAGGAGGGACCAGTCGCTGGAGAAAGACATCATGTTTGGTAAGGTGGAGGGACAGAGAAAAAGAGGAAGACCCCTAACAAGATGGACTGGCAAAGTGGCAGCATCAGTGGGCTCAAACGTGGTAATTGTGAGGTTGGCCCAGGACCGGGCAGTGTTTCGTTCTGTTGTGTGTATGGTCGCTATGAGTTGGTGCCGACTCGATGGCACCTAACAACAGCTTGCCAGAAGGAGTGTTGGTGTGGCGCTGTGGGTTAATGAGCTGGACTGCAAAGTTGGTTTGAACCGCAAGGTCAGTGGTTCAAGCTCACCAGTCACTCTTTGTTCAGGGTCGCTATAGGCAGGAACCGACTCGACGGAACTTCACAACAACAACTTGCCAGAAAGGAGCTCTGGTAGCACAGTGCATAAAGTGCTAGGCTGCTAACTAAAAGGTCAGTCGTTCAAACCCACCAGCTGTGCCGTGGGAGAAAGAGGTGGTGTTCAGCTCCCGTGGAGAGGATAGGCTGGCAATCCTCCCAGGTAGTTCTCATCTGTCCTGCTCTGTCACTGGGAGTCGGAATCAACTCAACAAGTAACAACACTTCCAGAAAACAGACCACAGAGCTTCTGCCTTCAGCTCATCTATTTATGTGACCTGAAGCACACTTGTCTACGATTCCGTCTGTGAAATAAGGAGGCTGGGCCAGACTTTTCTGCAGGGTCAGGTCCACTTGCCCTGATTCTCCATGTCCATCTGTCCAATCTCATCGTTATGACCACTGAACTCACTGCTCTACCCTAGAGATCAGTACCACTGGGGGGTGGGGGGGGCATGGGGAAGGAAAGGGGAGCTGAGCTTACTTTGCTGATCTTTCAGTGAAAAATGTTTGTAAAAAGATCTCACAGTGATTCCATAGTAAAGCTAAAATGAAAATAAAATAAAATAAAAACTTATTTTGAAATCATCTGAATCAGACCATAAAATGTTTCAAGGTCAAGACTAGGAGCTTGAGGTTTTTTGTTGTTGTTGTTAAGTGCCGTCGAGTTGGTTCCAACCCATAGCGACCCTGTATAGGGTTTCCAAAGAGCAGTTGGTGAGCTTGAACTCCGGACCTTGCAGTTCAAATGGCTTTGCAGTCTGGTGCATTAACCCACAGCACCACACCAGTACTCCATTTTTTTAGGGGTTTCTAAACACCGAGCAGGATGCTAAGACTACAGACACAACACAGCAAAGCTTGGCTAAATTATACTGAGACTGGCATAGTCTCTGCCAGCAGAGATAAGTCAACTCTCTAAGGCTCTACTTTAAGCCTTGTCGTCAATGTGTACAATGCCAGCAAACATTCTGCCCTCAGATTTAATCAAGTTAATGCTTCAACATGTGGTTCTTCTAGAAAGGACTTCCTCCACTCTGCATCGTCTCGTAACTGTCCACTTACTCCTCAGTAGATGCCCCACAGGCCAATAATGGGCAGAGGAAATGGCGAGAAAGCACAAATGAAGGGGCAGGTTTTGTGCAAAAATTCCAAAGTGGTTTCTAAGTGTGCGTGTAGTATGTATGTTTGTTATTGTTATTAGGTGCTGTCGAGTTGGTTTCAACTCATAGTGACTGTGTATAGGGTTACCAATGACCGTTTGGTGGATATGAACCACCAACCTTACGGTTAGCGGTCCAGTGCTTATGTGAGGGGGCTTCAAAAAATGTGTGGGACAATAGAATTGACAGGTAATAGAGTTTTTATACAATGTTTCGAAGCCACCTCATACGTCCATACATATGTGTATGTGCAGAGCTTGCAGGATCTCCTTAACTGATGTCTCATTTGTATCATTTCTTTGATTGTGGGGGGACGGTGTGTAGGAAAAGTATGAGGCAAGAAGTTTCCTCCGCTCACTTGAAACTGCAATACTTTCTATTTAGCACTGGGAACCACTGTAAAATAATGAAATTCTTTTTCTTTATGCCTTTAAAAAATTCATTGGGGAAAACATAAATAAAATATTTGAAGTAAATAAACCAAAATTAGAGTAGTTATTTCTGTGTAGGGTTACTCCAGGGGATTTTCACTTTTTTATTTGGAAAGTTCTTATAATAACTAGACAACAACATTAGCTTAATTATTTTAACTTAACCTCTTAAGTGCTAAGGAAGATATTATCCAACATGTTCTTAGCTAAGAATAGATCAAAGAATTCATATTAAGTTACCTTAAAAGTCCTTGTAATTTTCTGTGAGATAGCCTTTCTCTCCTCTAAATGTAAATGAAGTATTTTAAATGCCCTGATCCGGGAGTAAAACTTTTCACTTGTATTTTAAACAGGATTTACTGGTTGAAGCATTATAGTTGAGATTATGGGATCTGAAGCCAAGATCGGGATTTGAACCTCTGTTCCACCTTAGGAGCAAACACACAGATGAGTTATCTCACTCCTACAAAAGGCTGTTGAAAGGATCAAGTAAGTTTTATACGGAAAACTAACATAAAGACCCAGCTCAGTAATGGAAGTACCCTATGAGGCCATGGCAGTGAACATCGTTGCAACTGTTCACTAAAGTCCCTAACTGAGTTTTGGGGTGTATGCAGCCTGTGATGGTGTCAGAAGAGGAATGGCCAGGATGATACTTACTTTGCTCTTCTTACTACTGGACATTTTATTCCTGATGTAGCTGAACGTACGGCTGACTTTTGTGCCACTCTTTCCTTCAAAATCTTTCTTGGAAGGGCTTTGTGGTAGGAAACGGTAGTTTTCTTCGGTTATACTAAATGAAAACAAGAAGTCTAATTTTAAGAACTGTAGTAGTCAGTTTAAAAAACTCTGAAAAGATCTTATATAAGTTTTGTGATCACCAGGTCATATGTTACACCTTACTGACAGTTCATAGTCAACTTTTAAATTCACATGAGAACCAAAGCCAGAACACAAGGGTGGACTGGATGCAGCAAGAAGGTTTTATACACAGCGCCCTCTGCTGCCCAAACCCTACAGCGATGCTTTCTGGAATCAGCGGTTTCAGTGATCTAATGTTAAACACGGCTGAATTCATTAATTACTTAAGTGAAATTTCTTATTTTAAAGCAGCACGTAATTTGTAACCTAGAAAGGAAAACGACTTATGTGGTGGAAGTTAATAAAGGTTGTAAACCAAGGAATTGATACACTTAACTGCTTAGCAATATTGCTTGTGGGAGAGATCACACGGTTTCTATTCTTTTGACAAAAGGACAAGCAACACTGTGGACTGGTCAGCACAGCTGTGCACTCTATCAGGAGGCGTTGTTTACTGGTCAGCACAGCTGTGCACTCTATCAGGAGGCGTTGTTTGGCCATGAGTCACAGCAGACTTCATTGCAACTAACAACAACATACTGAACACCAAACAGCAGGCAGAACACAGACAGATCTCACTTTAGTTTTAAACAGATCTAAACTTGGTGATCTACTTGTTCAGGAAGCCTATAGAGCATTCAAGTCCATTCCAAATGGAGATATTCTGACCTTAGGAAATTCACAAAGGTTGATTTATTCAGAGAATACTGGACAAAGGCATCTGCATAAATAACCCACTGTACAGTTAAGGAAAGCATTGCTATTATTTTTCTTGGGTGTTATTTTAGAATGAGAAGTTTTAACAACGAAAGTCTACTTATACTCATATACAGAAAGGTGGCGCTGCGGGATAAAGCGCTGGACCGCAAGATCGGTTTGAACCATGAGGTCGGCAGTTCAAACTCACTAGCTGCTCCTTGGAAACCCTATACAGGGCTACTGTTGAGTTAGCACTTAACAAGAACAGCAACAGAGATAACAAAGGAGTCTGTTGCTGAAAGAGAGGCAAGATGGGTTGAAAAGCTCTGCTCTAAAAAAGACCAAGAATAAACAGCAAACAAACACTGAGCTGAGAGTCCTGGTGAGCCACATGAATATCTTGGTGAAAAGGAGCAAAACTTCAAGAGTGTAGGGTAATAACTGGAAGCCCAATTATGCTGTTGTTAGAATATTTAATCTTACAAATATGAAAAGAAAAATATTGAAATCCTGATCCAAAGGAGGAAAATGCAAAACAATTTCAAATTCTCATGGACTCTAGATTTTCTGGAGCCATGGAGGGTGGATGAACCCCTGAAGTTATTGCCCTGAGATCATCTTTAAGCCCTTAAACTAAATATATCCCTGAAGTCTTCTTAAAACCAAACCAGATATTAGCTTAACTAGTAGAAAACAACAACAAAAAAGTCTACCTTGAGCATTATGCACTTTGAAGAACTATCTATGGAAGATCAAAGTGACGACAACTTGTAAGACTAGGGCAAAATCTTAGGTGACAGTGAGGTTATGTTAATCAGGGAGGGACAACGCTGAAAAGGAGAGTGACAATTGGTTGTGCAGCTCTAAGGATGTAATCAATGTCACCAAATTATACAGGTAGAAGTGGCAGAATTGCTGTGTTTTGCTGTGTATAATTTTTTTTTTCAATCTGCACAACAAAATGATACAGTCTTCAATATAAAACCATTTTCAATCATTATTCTAAAATTATTACTCAAGGAAGTACCAAATTAACTTAATGCCCTAAGTATTTGGGAATTCCTTGATTTTCATTTTGGGAGAGAAATAGCAAAATAAATAAATGCACAGTTACCTTTCAGTCAGATTAGCACTTGTGTTGTGGAAGAGTCGTGTATCTAGAAAACAAAAAAGGAAGAGACAAAGTTTGAACCAAAGTATTTTACAACAATAGATGAACTGTTTTATGATGACAAACTAAAGCAGAAATGAAAATCAGTGCCTAGTGCCTCCTCCTTCAAAGTGTTTGGAAAAAGGAGAAATTAAACTTGCAATCGTGAAGTTAGACATGGAAACAGGAGCAATAAGGAGTGAATTTCCCATGACGATACAATGTAAAAGTCAAAACTGAACAAATCTAATGTCAACATTTCCCCTAATGCTTAAACACTCAGGAAGCATGCTTTATTCCTGATCTTAACAATATTCCGCTTCCATACGCCATTTTTGAGATGTCACAGAAAGAACCTAAAATAGGAAATTAAATATCATATTCTAGTAATCCAGTGTTTATATGTTTCTATATTAAAAAACACCTAATGTGTCTCTCCATCTTTTCCTGAGACTTCCTGGAAACGGATTACAGAGGAGGAGGAAGGAAGACTGGACTTGACTCATGCACCTGGCCCTGTCACTACATTGGGTGAGAACTCTGGGTTTCATCTCTTCATCTGTGAAATGAGAAATGCGTTTACGATCCTTTCCAGGATGATACTGATCAAATGACTGCGCGTTCTTCCTCCCTGCATACTGAGCAGACCATAGACTGGAATGGGCCATTGAAATTTTAAGTCAAATAGCTGGGGCAAAATGTGGAACAAATCAAGAAACACTGTGGCCCTGTAGGATCAGCACTGGACTGCGAACCTCAAAGTTGGCAGTTCAAACCCATCAGCCGCTCCTCAGAAACCCTACACAGAGTCCTCGATGGGGCACTTAAGATTAACAACAAGAACCATTGTCTTGATCTACAAGTTAGTAAAATTTAGTTGCTTTAGGGCTTGAAAGGGGGAAAAAGGCCCCGTACTGTGCAATAATAAATGGTTTTCCATTTCTGAATGATCAGCTAGAGACAAACTGTCCTTGTATGATTCCAAGGACCCAGGTTTGCTCTGTACCTCCTGTTAGAAGAATGTGGGCCACAAACTCCATTTTTCTTTGAGTCTGATGCTTCAAGGATCTCTGAGATTACTGTGAGTAAAATCGTATAGAGATCTGAACATGTTCTCTCTGACTAGATTACCTCAATTTTAAATTCTTAAAACTTTCAAAGGAGTTTAGATTCTAAATAACCGTGTAAAATTATAGTTATTGCTTATGAATATAAATAGCAAACTGGTAGAATAATACACAGAAAATGAACCACCAGTTCTAAGTCTTGAAAAGTTTGCCTGGCACACTTTCTCCTTTTCCCTCTAGTTCACTTCGGTGCATGGCAGTTAACAGCCAGGTCAGTGAAAAGGTCAGCCGAGTAAAAGGAGGGTCTAGGATCTCTTCCCCAGTTCTGGTCTACTAGGTGTGAAACCACTAGCAATTTCATCTCATGATGCTTTAGCTTCAAAAAAAAAAAAAAAGTAAGATAGAAAAGAGAAGAAGCTGGTTTGGGGGTTCAGGTCAGAGGCTTCAGAGTCTACCATGGAGCATTCACTGATACAAGTGACACCCAGTTCCTTAAGGAAGGCCCCTAGTCTACATTCATATTCTTAAGCAGTTCCCTAATAAATCACCACTGTGGTTATCTAAACAAGGAGGAAATGAAATTAATAATGTAGGTAAATATCAAACCAATACAGAACCTAACCAAAAATCAACCCCTCATGCATTTCTGTCAAATTAACCCAAAACGGAAGCTATGAGATTAGGGTACTCGGAACACCTAGGATTCCTATACACACTTGCAACTCTTTCACTGCTGAAACAATTTAATTCAGTTACACATGTGGTTCCGAAAACAGTGATTAATCTATTACTGTCTGAAATTCCTAAAGCATCAAGCTGTCAGAGCATCTAAGAGCATGAAACAACTCTGAATGCTTCCATGCTACAATTGCAGACGAAAACAAAGCAATCTGCCATTTGGGTTAGTATGTGAAGGTGAGCAGACTATTTCACGGGGGATTTTTTCAGGACCCATTAACATCCAGGGCCTGTTGTTGTTTGGAGCCACTGGATGGACATGGTCAGTATTTTTCAAGGTGTGCTACAAGTTTCGTAAAATGTTGTTGCTAGGGGTCACACTCAGTGAGCCTGTGTAACAGAGTAGAACTGTCTCACGGGGTTCTAGTACAGTGGGTTAAGTGTTGGGCTGCTAACCGAAAGATTGGCGGTTCGAATCCTCCAGCTGGTTTGGAGGAGAAAGATGAGGTGGTCTGCATCTGTGAATATTTACAGCCTGGGAAACCCTCCAGAGCAGTGGAGTAGTCAGAGACCGCTCCAGGGCAGTGAGCTTGTTTGAATCTTACGAAAGCAGAGTGTCAGTTCTTTCTCCTACAAATCAGCAGCAAAGCGCTTCAATGCTGTGCCACCAGGGATCGTTATGTGAGACCCTGATGAATCCAAGCCCATTGAGTCGGTTCTGACTCACTCGGAGCAACCCAACAGGATATAGTAAAACCGCTCTCTAGGCTCCCCAAGGCTGTGGGTCTTTAACACAAGCAGACAGATTTGTCTTTCTCCTGTGAAGAAGCTGGTGGATTTGAACCACCGACCTTCCAGTTAGCAGCCCAACGCTCTCTCACTTTGCCAGCAGAGCTCCTAGGTTTACACCCATGCATACACAGACTGGGATTTCACATATTAAACACTGTATTAAACAGTTTCTTGGAACTGTAATGAAAACACATTCGTTTTTAATCCTCCTTAACCAATCATTCCCCAAACCTGCGTGGTTATGAGCTAACACTCCCTCCTGTGAGATTAGCTGGGTGACCGGTGCTGCTATGGGATTATAATCTTGTATCAGTGGTGGAAGAACTACTGTACTGGTGGAACCCTGGCTTATCTGTCATGTTGATCGATTTCCCAGCATATTAAAAATACTTTGAGAAGAAATAGCCTTGGGAATTTCTGAACACTCAAAGATGCAAGTGGATTTTCATAACTTCCTTCCTATTTAATGATAAAAAGTTAATGTGCCTTAATGTATCTATTTGCTAAACATCTTTTCATAGAACTGAACATCTATAACATTTTCATTAAAAAGCAAATTACACAGGTGAATGGATAAACAAAATGTAATCCATACATACAAGGGACTGTTAGTGAGCATCAGGGAAATGAAATCCTGAAACATGCTACAACATGGATGAATCTTATGCTGAGCGCAATCAGTCACAAAGGGCTACGTATCGTCTAGGATCTCACCTATTTATTAGGGTCTCTAGAGCAGTCAAAGGCATAGAGAGAAAGGTTGGTCATAGTTGTCAGGGACTGGAGGGCAGAGGGCTCAGTGCCTAGTGGTCACTGAGCTTCTGTTAAGGGTGACAAAATAATCTGGAACCATGAGGGGGAGGGTGGCATAACATGACAAACATAATTAATGCCGCCACTGAATTGTACCTGTAAAAAACACTGAAATGGCAAAACTTTTGTCATAGATATACTTCTCATATTTAAAAAAACAACAGACGAACTCACTTCTGTGTTCCTGCTAAGGAACTGGGATGCTATTTTCATTTACATGTTGGTATTAGCTGCTGTTGAGTTGCTTCCAATTCACCATGACCCCAGGTGTGCCGAGTACAACGGCTCCACGGGGTTTTTAAGGCTGTGACACATCTCCCAGGGTGCCTCTGGGCCAGCATGACCCTTGAGTGATGAGCGCTTAACCACCTGCACCACCCAGGGACAACTTAATTGCTGGAAACTTAAAATATTCGGTATATGATGAAAAAAACCTTTAAGTGACTTCAGTTTAGGAAAAAAAAATTTTCATTAAAAAAAAAACAACAAAAAAAAACCCCAAATGAACCGCAATATATGCATATCCTTGAGACTTTGCATATTTGCAGAACATGATTTTTGTGAGAGGTAACTTCATTTGTTTTCCAATTTTACTGTAACTGATACCTGTAGAGTTCCAAACTAGCAGGATACCAAGTAACCCACGGCTTATTGAAAGGACTGAAAAATAAGAAAAACTGCAGTTCAATAGGAGCAAATGTAGGATTTAATCTCAAAGGAGAGGTATTTTAAAAAAATGGTTAGGATAGGTGACAAGAAAAAGGTATAATCATTTTTTAAATATTACCCATGGACATCTAGGTATCTATCCCATGAGAAGATAAAAGAAATAAAATCTAATTATCAAATGGAAAGTCTTCAGAACGCTGTACTCAGCATCACAAAGGCCATCAGGTGGGAACCCATGTCTTACTGCTTGAAGACATCTTGCTGGGGTCAGGAGGTTTTAGGCTCAATCAATCAGTATAGGCAGTATACAGAAAACAAAAGCGGCTTTATCCAAATTAATTTTCAAAGCAAAGCATGAAGACAAGTGATTTAGAAAAGGTAGCATGCAAGGGGATAAGAGCCCCCCCCCCCC